TGTTGACGACATTCCCATCTTTCCCCTCCTCTTCGTCTATCCCCTTCCTCCTCGTCTGTGCATGTTCTGGGCTGGCGCTGTCTTCCTGTGTGAAGCGCCAGACCCATTCACACTATGAAACGATGATGATGATGTATGTTCAAGGCTGCATTACAACATTGATTGTTCGGATCACTGGTATCTAAGTCTTCCGCTGTGCTATCTTATACTTTGTATTGAAAGGTCGGTTCTTGTTCTGGTCTGCGCCTATACGGTATGCAACAGTCATCCATTACGAAAAGACTTTCCCTTAAGTGGATATGTGGAAGTACGGTACGATGATTCAGAGAAACGTATGATTTCTGAGCCTACTGAAATGACTTGAGAATTTCATTATTTTGATTTTTCGAGTCCTTGGGTCCTTGGAAATGGATAGAACTAGTTAAATAAAAAAATGTAATCAAACCATAGTTGCGGGCCTTGCGGTGCATCACGTGCGCGCAAGTTGCACATGTGCGCCGCACACGTGCACGCGCACGTGATGTGGCGCATTTAGAAAATTAAAAAAAAAAAAAAAAAAAAAAATGCACGCGCACGTGATGTGGCGCATTTAGAAAATTAAAAAAAAAAAAAAAAAAAGAAACGGTAGGTCGTCGTACCCATAAGTGTCCCTCCCTTTTAAAAAGGGTAAATACTAAATGCACAGAAAAAGGGAATATTTTGGGGCCTCATCGTACTGCTCATTGGTTTGATTCTCCTTTCCAAAAAGTACCCTGCATGCAATTAGCAGGGTCTTCATAACCTTTGGAAGGATGTGCATTGGACTGCTGGAAGACCACGAGTAGGCCAGCAATATATCCCAGATTCGGATTCAGGTCTGTGTTCCAAGAGTTATGGGTTACGAATTTACCACAAACACTCCAGTAGTTGTCTCGTTTTTTTTTTCCCCCCTTTTCTTACGTGCAGAAGGGCCTCGCTCCACTCATCAGCACTTGCAGAAAAGAAAAACGGATGGCTTGTATGGTTCCAGTTTCTAGGAGAAGATTCATTCTTGTTTTGCACATACAGTAGCTGTCTGTTTTTTTAGTTTTTCCTTTTCTTACTTGCGTGCAGTGGCCCTAAGGGCCTGGCTCCACTCATCAGCACTTGCAGAAAAGAAAAACGTATGGCCTGTATGGATCCAGCTTCTAGGAGAAGATTCATTCTAGTTTTGCACATTTGGTGAGTAGTGGTGTGAAGCACTCAAAATCACATGCCGAGTTAGTAAGTCAGTAACCCATAACTGCTGAAACACGGACCTGAAATCGAAGCTACACCATATGTAGCTGGCCTACTCCCTCCTTACTACGAGTCCAGTGACGACCCTTCCAATGACCACCCCGTTCCTGCCGGAGGAACCCTTGCCAATTTTTGGCAGGGACCTTTTGAAGTACCGGCAGGGGTTGTCTGAATAATGTGAAAGGGCTCTGTGCTCTCTCTCTCTCTTTCTCTCTCTCTCTCTCTCTCTCTCTCTCTCTCTCTCTCTCTCTCTCTCTCTCTCTCTCTCTCCAGCATGTATACACACATCATGGTTTTTTTTTTTTTTTTTTTTTTTGTGCGCACCTGGGATTGGCGCACTGTGCAGCGCACTTCACCTACGCGCCGCAAGTATGAATCGAACTAAAAAAAAAAAAAACGTAATCCCGGGTGAGAAGAGAGCATGGAATTTATGAACAAATTTGCTGGAGCGGAACTATGGATTACGATATGGGCAATACAACGGCCCATGCATTACTCTGGGGGCAGATCAGTATTTTACTATTTTTTTGCCCCTACTTTTTTTCTTTTTTTTTTTTTTCCTGCTATGGAGAAAGGTTGCATATGGAAGGGCAATCACGCAACCTTGGGTGATCGGTTCTTTCTTCTTGTCCATTTTGGCAAGTTGCTGATCTGCTCTTCCCCGAGAATAATTCATGGGCCGTAACTTCTTGCTAGTAGGAAGTGTCGTAGCGAGCACGAGTATGGGGTGACATGTTTTGGGTTTCTTTTCATTGGATTTGCACATCTTACTGAGTAGGTACTTTCGGTTAAGCTTTTGCGCGGCAGCTTGGATGAAACAGTGTTTGAATTTTGAAATTTTTGCTGGTAATTCGCGCGTGTAGTTATGAACTTGCGATTTCTTTTTCGGATTCCTTTTTCCGACTTTTTGCGGCCAGTAGGACTTTTAATTACACATCAGCATTTAGGCTCCCTGTTTCTTGCTGCTTCGCCCTGTCTTGGCGTGTAACTGAGCGCTGCCCCCTCTGCGTGCACGCAGCTTCTTTTTGCAACACATTCTCTTCTTCGCGCCTTAATCCCGCCTGCAATTCCCAACTTCCTTCGTCTCCCTCCTCTTGTCTCGTCTTGCTCCCCAAAGTCAACTAAATGTTGACACTTCCTCCTTGCTTCTCTAGGCATGCAGTGTCCTGCCTTTCTCGCGCATATCCCCCTTCCCGCCTTTCCTCCCTTTGATCGTAATCCGCATTGGCCGAGGCGCTGCATCTTGGATTGATGCGTGGAGAGTGGCTGAGATTATGTGGGGGTTGATGTGTCGCTGCGACGGACTGTGGGGCACAAGCAAAACTGGCTTGAATAATCGTGATAGGCGGGGTGACGACTCAGGTAAATGGTGGGCAGCAGGAGCTGGCGGACCGTCCGCGTCGGTGTGTCGAGATATGGTTGTGGGTGTTTTCTTCTAGGCATCCGGACAAAAAACACACGGAAACCAGCAAGCATGCTAACACACAGACTTTGAAATCTCGGCAAACAGCAGGAATCTCAGCAGACAACACGCAATCCAGTGGAAAAAACTCGGAAATTGGCACAGTTCTCGGTTTGTGACTTTGCAGGTCATTACACTGGCAGAAAAAATGAGAGGGTAGTGAGCTGCATCTTCAATTTAATTATTGTAGTTTTCTATGGGACGCCGAACCCGGTTTCCAGCAGGTGCATAGGTGAGTGCTTTCCACAGCAGGGAGGACATTCCTTTTTTTTACTAAATGGGTAGCTAAGGGGGTAGCCCCTGACCTTATTATATCCATTTGATTGCAGTAGGAATGGAACATATCATCCATCATGATGAGGTTTCGGACTCGTGATCTGTTTCTTAACAGTTACATGTGTGTACCATTCAGCTGCCGCATGGGCTGGGTCTCTCACCTGTCAATCTCTGTTGTAATGTCTTGGCCTCTTGCCAGGTCTCTGTTGTGGAAGCCTAGCCCTTTCACGAACTCGGGTTTATGGTTGGGGCGACACCTGCGCTCCCACCTCGATCCCTCCTCCAGTGCTTCCTTCAGCATTGCACTATCACCAAAGAAGGCCCCCGATATGGACCTCCCCGCTCTTCCTCCCCTTCCTCCTCCTTCAGTCTGAGCTTCCCCCTCTGGTTCTCTCTCACTGGCGCTTTCCACCCAATCTTCCTCGCGCTTTCTACCTCCTCTGCTGGAGGCCTCCACCTCACATTTCTTTAGTTGGCATTCCTGCTCCTGTTGATGATCTCCTCCCTGCTTCTCCTTTTGCCGGTTGGTCATCGCCAAGCTCCTCAGGACTGAGACAAGCACATCGCCTTGTGTCTTTCTAAGGTTGTCCTGTGCAGGCTGTGCATGATCATGCCCATTTTGTTTGGGGCCAAAAGAAGGGGCTAGCAGCTCATTTCTGTCACCCCCCTCTAAGCCCTCTTCTTCTTCATCACCCTCCATCACGGCGGCATACAGAGCTTCCAGGTCTGCCAAAATACCCATCTGGGCTTGCTCTGGATGCGTCGAATCGGCACAGCAGTCTCGGTCATCGCTTTCGCTCGTGCAACCCCTCCAACCATCCCCCCCACTCCAGTCTTCGCTCTGTATCCGGATCTTCAATCCCCCGTTGCCCCTCCTCTCCCATTGATAATGTGACACGACATCCTCGTACAGAGAACAGATCAACGGTTCCAGCGCCCCAAGCTCCAGACAGCAACGAGTTGCCTTTCCTGGGTCCGTCGACTTGCCTCTCCCTCTTACCGCATGCTCTTCTTTCGCGACCACTCCTGGCTGACGGAAGCTTTGAATGCCATCCTCCGCATCACCAAAACACCCTATTGTTTCCGCTCCCTTCCTTCTATAGCTAAGGTTGCCCCATGTTTTTTCCGTGCGATCAGCTGTCCCGTGCACGGTATGTATGCACTCGGCTCTGACTCTGCCTTGATGTGATCGACCGCCATCGCCATCGCCACCGCCGCTGCCACCGCCACCGATGTACTCAGCGTCTTCTAAACAGACCATGATTGATCGATCTACGGAAGTTCCCCTCACGCCCTCTTGATTAGGAGCCTGCTCATCAGAGCAGAGATCCAGGACACCATCCATCCACTCCCAAAAGGATGCTTCGTGCTGCGCGCACAACTCCGCCTCTTTCTGAACCTCCTGCTCAATCTTAAGGTCCAGCACATGCTGCGCCATCGCCTTTTTGTCGCACAGCAAGAGGAGTTCGTACTGAGTGTAGATTGGAACTGTAACCCAAAAAAAAGCCAAAACTTAGAAAACCAACAACTGCATCTGAGTCACATTTTTAGTTTGAAATGCGCAAAAAAACAAAAGGGCAGGAAAAAACAAATGGGCAGGAAAAAAACAAATGGCCAGGAAAAAACAAATGGCCAGGAAAAGACAAATCGGCAGAAAAAAAAACAGGTACCGACAGTTTTGTCAGTGCTTCAGTTTGAAATGGCAAAAAAGTTGAAAAAAATTGAAAAAACGCAAAAAAGAACTAGCTATTCATTTTGTTTTGCCGTTTTGGAACCCAGGCCGTCTAATAATGACGGCCCACCCTTGTAGTTATGACATCCGCACTTATGACAAAGTGCCGTGGCGCTTTTGTTGCCTTTTTTAACTCGGTGGGTGAGGGAGCCGCCGGTACGTGTGTTTTTTGCCCATTTCCAACGTGGATTGTGACTTGAATGTACTTGCCCCAGTAGAAAAAAAAAAAAAAAAAAAACAAAGTTAATTGAATAGTCTGTGTGACCATCTTCTACATCTGAGGCTCTTTTTACTGATCCAAAATATTGCTGCGCGCCCAAAAAAAGAAACGAACAGGGAAAGGCACAATTTCATTTCATTTTGGCTGGCGGCACCAGCCATTTTGGTCCGGCAGCCCCGAGGCCCCAAACGGTGCGGATGCATAGATTCACACTCTTTCTTTTTTGCCTGCGATACGAAGTGGTGGTCCAAACCGTCAGTACCTTTCCCAGCTGTTTTGCTGAGACACGCCGGGTAACGTGGGAGGCCAGCGGGGTTCGGTGCTACCGAACCGAAATGGCTGGCGGCGCCAGCCAAAATGAGTCCCACGCCAGTTTGTTTGTTTTTTTCGACGGGCAGGGTGATTGTGGGCCCGGCATCTATAGCTGAAAAAGGTACTGGTGGTTTGAGAGGGGATAAGTACATGCTCGGGTATCCTGGGGCTAGGTCCCACTAGCAAAGATGATTCGATTATGCGCCTGCATTTGGACGTCTTTGCAGAGATTGAACTGCTTTTCTGCATCCCGGCATGAAAACACATCGCCAGATTCAGGAGCTTAATCCATCCCCTTTGCTAGCGGGACCATGCTCCCTCAGTCGTCCGTGGAAAGTTGGGGGCAGGAGTTGGAGTTGGGAGGACTGGAATGTGGTGAATGAACTGTGAAAGAAGGACGAAAATGCAAAACACCAATCACCGAAAAATGAATTGCATGGGTCCTAGGGACCATCTCACGCAAATGTGTACATGTCATGCATCATCTTCACACGCAGTGATCAATAGTATCAACCATAGACAAAGGTAGAKAAGAAGAGGACCGAGTTTCACAACTTATATTATCAGAAATATGAATACAAAGTGTTTCAAAGTTCCCCTGAGTCCAGCGCTCATCAGCCCAACACCAATCTCTTATCAACTCATCAATATGGCTTCCAATGTATCAGCGCTACATCTGCAAACAATCTCCAAGTCGTCAATGTGGTCACTACTTCTTCAGCGCCACCTCTGCAGGTCACATCTAACCCAGGTAAGTATCTTCCATAGCCGAACCTTGAATGAACACTTTCAGCCTCAGTCCCTTCCTCCTACRATGCATACACACTCTTCACTCATGAGGATCTACTCYGGATACTACTCATAGCTACATACTAACCCACTACTACTAATGCTAACTTGCTGGGCAGCTATGGCTGCATCATTTTCAGCATACAGGCTTCTCCCTTCACTCAGCGCATCTTCTCCTTCCAGCGCTGCTCCTACTGGCTCAACGCACAAGTGCACCAGCACTTCCACGCATAGAATGCCAGTGGAGATCTGGCAAGGAATGAGGCTGGCTGCCTCTTTTATACTCCTTGCTGGGTCTGCATTGGCTCAAACCAGCCTTCCTTTTGTCCCAGACCCTGCATTGCATGTGTCCCAGTAGAGTCCCAATGAAGTTCAACTGCTGCTGAGGCCTCCCGGCCCGAATTTGGACTTGAAGGTCTGGATCTGGACTGACCCCTAGACTTAGACCAGAACTGGGACTGTGCCTATTGACTTTATTTTCGGACAGGCACAACTCTCAACGWACAGACACATTTACTGCTTGAACAGACACTTTACTTTGCACGAACACGTACACTGCCTGCACGTACAGACACACTCTTACCCAAACAGACATGACATACACATCTCCTGGTGAACAGGTAAATCTTTTGACAATGCCCTTTGCCTTAGCTTTAGATATGCCTGTTGACAGAGAACTTGACCTTTGACCTGCTTTCACGTTTCTGAGCTCTGGCGAGATACCTTTTCACAATGCTTTACTTTTTCAAGGCCCGTGCTGCTTTATTTTTACAAGGCCTGAGGCCTATATCGGGTAAAGGCCCTTTTAGAATAGTCGGAGTGTTGAGCTTATCACCCGACCCACCAATAGATTGGAGCAACCAGGATGCTCACTAGAAGGGGTTGCTCTTATCACCTCTCCTAGCAGTGGGGACTGGTTACTATGTAAAAAAAAAAAAAAAAAAAAAAAGGGCTTATCACGCGACCACTGCTAACTAACTTGTTAAGGTGCTTTTTTTTTTTTTTTTTTGTTACGGTGCTTTTGGCTCAGTATGAAGATGTGATGATGATTTGCACAGTCCTTTGTTCGTCTTTTGTCGTTCAAGTACTGTTTGACTGCAATTTTTTTGTGGTTCGCATACTATGCGTATACTTGGAGGTAAGGATGGGAGGAGAGAGAGAGAGAGAGAGACAAGGAGCCTGGCTCCATTACTCAACAGTCGACATGTACCTGTAGGTCCTGTACAGCATAAATCCCACATACTTCCAAACTAATCCAACATTTTGAAAGTACTGCGTTTCCATATGTTCATTCCGGGCAGACTGTGAGGACCCCGGCCTCAATCTTATTATTGGTAATATCAGCCTTGGGCACTGGGCCCGGTTTAAAAAAAAAAAATGAAAGTACTGCGCCCACCAGGAGGTCCAGATTCATTTGGAATGTGGTGTAGTGGAGCGAGGCACAAGAAAAAGAGAAATAACTGGAAGCTGTGGCTCACCGCTGAGAATCTCTGCAAGCCCCTTGCAAGATAAATAAGAGCCTACTCCCCCTACCGTCTTCACCCGAATACAGCGCCCGGGTCATTATAGCCCTATATGGGGCAACTTTGAGTCTAGATACAGCGATAATGGCCAGGCGTTTTATTCAGGTGAAGACGGTAGGACTTTGCAGGAAGGATGTATCTGACGGCAGTTACGCCTGGCCCTGGGTGTACCTGGCCGCAATCATGGCCAGGTCTTGAGGGTCGTATGAGCAGCCCCCAGCAGTAGTAGTTTCCCCGGTGCGACTGACTCTGGCCTATTTGTGGGGAGCAACACCTGCTGGAAAATGGGTCCAGCATCCCATTGAGAAACACAACAGTTGCAGCGTGCATGCTGTCACGACTCTTGGGAAGTACCGGGGCGCCGTTTCGCTTTCGCTGGACATCCATCCAGGCAAAGCGGGCCTCACATGCGACCCGTTTTGCCGGGATGGATGTGCCGTGAAACAGTGCCCCACGTACTTCCCGAAAGCAATAGCTGCACGCACGCCACGACTCTGAAAAAATGGCTGGGAAACCTACCGGTGGTTTAATTGCCGTGCTTCAGCAGGGAATTGCCTGCCGGACATGTCGAGCAGGTCCTAGCCCACATGCGACCCGTTTTGCCTGGATGGGTGTGCCGCGAAACAGTGCCCCACGTACTTCCCGAAAGCAGTAGCTGCATGCACGCCGCGATTCTGAAAAAATGGCTGGGAAAACTACCGGTGGTTTAATTGCGCTGCTTTGGCAGGGAATTGACTGCCGGGCGAGGAGTCGAACAGGTCCTAGCGTGGGCATTCCGTAATTATATGCAAAGAGGGTACCTAATGAATACAGTAATGCCGGGGGCGAGATCCCACTAGCAAATGAAGGGGGGTTGGATTGAGTGCCGGCATCTGGATGCATTTTATGCGGAGATGCAGCGAAGCAGATCAATCGCGATTTTCTGCACTCTCCCCTCGAAAACGTCCGTCCAGGTTCAGGTGTTAAGCCCTACCCTCTTAGCTAGTGGGACCTAGCCCGAGGGTAAACCCCCGTTTAGAAAAGTGCATCGAAGCTTTTTTCTTTCTCTCTTTTTTTTGGGATAATTTGCAAAATACCCCCATAAGTTGAGATATATGCCAAAATGCCCCTGAAAGTTGTGGGTAGAGCAGAATGCCCTTTTGGGCCGAAATCTTTGTGTTGTGTCCCTGTCAGGTGGGTGTGCAACTTTGCAATCTGGACCTCCACGTTTGGGCCTTGGCCTTTTGTAATAGCACCTAGGAGAAGTTGGCAAGTGCTGGGGCATTTTGCAAGGTTGGACGGTACCCGGTAGGGGTATATTGCAAAGATGGGGGTCCAACTGACGTTAGGGGTATTTCACAAAAAAAAAAAAAAAAGTCAGAGGGGCATTCCGCTCTACGCACATCTTTTGGGGACATTTTGGCATGTATCTCAACTGATGGGGGTATTTTGCAAATTATCCCTTTTTCTTTTCGAAGGGTTCATCAAATCTCAGGGGTCAGGGGCATGCAAAGTCACTGATGCAAATGCGAGGCTACGCCCACTTAGCCCCTACGGGGCCCTATCTGCAACAAGGTCAGCCGCCCTAAGTGAAGGCAGGCACGACAGGCCCTTCGGGCCTCATTCTTCAGGGTACCCCCCATCGGGGAAATTCAGACAGTTGCGTTGCGCCAGTTGGTTGAATGAATCCAGGCCCTGGGCCGCCTGTGTAAATGAATGTGAAGCAGGCC